GGCTGGAAGGACAAAAAAATCATTAAGTGTCAGCCTGAACTGAAAGTTGCTGCTAGGATCACCCAGTCTCCTTGTGCTCCCACATATTGGCCCAGTTTTCATATGTATGGGATTCACATGGTTCTTTTGAAAACAAAAATTAGCATATCGCCTCTGTTATGTAATAGCTAAGTTTTCCAACTAAGAAAAAATTGCTCAAAATTTCAAGAGTAATGCAACTGCTCTTTTTAAACAGGTCAGCTCATGTAAGACCTGTTACTAGTTGAGGGATGTGGGTATAATTAGTAGAGGGAAGTGGAAAGAACACTATTCTCAAATAAACACTGTGAGTCCTTGGCTTACACCAGCACTCCACTGAAGCATTGAGAGTAGCGTAGATTAGGTAAGATAAGTACACACACTCAGAGGAGAGGTATTCATTCACCACTCACTCACATTTGCCCAGTTTCTCTAAGGTTTCTCCTGTACAAAGGTTTTCTGAAATACACAATGATGGCCTTTTCCTTTTTTTTTTTTCCTTCCAGCCCTTGTGACTCTGAAATATGAAAACTTTCATCAGAACAATTCAGATCCAGAGAGAAAAGAGAACTCCAGAGAGGAAACACAAGATATATCTCTCAGAGAAGGCAACCTTATCACACTTAATCAGAAAAGCTTCACTTCAGGGAGATATTATTGGGAAGTGGACACTGGGGACTCTGATGAATGGGCTCTTGGCATTTATGAGGAACACACAGATGACAATGACAAAGATGTACCACTAAAGAAATTCAGAGTGTTAGAGAAAAGGGGATGTAACTACAGGGCTCTCACCTGTGGTCCCAAAGTCATTTCCCAAGAAAAGCCACTCTCGATAGAGAAAGTTCCACAAAAGATTGTGATTTTCTTGGATTATGAGGATAGTGACATTTCATTCTACAACATGATTGAGGGTACCCACATCTTCTCCTTCACCCAAGTGAGCTTCTCTGGGTCACTCTATCCTTACTTCAAACTTAACTCTATGGAGTTCTCATCACCTGCACAACGTTAAGTGACTGAGAGGAAGACCCTATACCATGAATACAGTAACTCATTCTCTGTAAACTCCAGGATCCCATATCTGTAGGTGGCCTTAGTCTCCACTGATTAGGTGACTTCTTGGGAAAAGCTCTATAATTCTCTATGACTAGAGTTTCTGATCTTATCAGGCAGTGCTTCTCAAACAATCTGCAGAGAAGGACCAGATGTTGTTGTTGTTGTTGATGATTCTATTGTGGTAAATATTGTTTTTTGCTTTATATCCAATCAATCGCAGACTGATAATTTTCTAAAACGAATTGCTGGAAAAAATAAAGTGAATTAAAAAAAACAAAATTATAAGTGGCAATTATTTTACTACTAGATTCAACATACATAAAATTATTCTGTTAATTTTCTCAAAAAGCTTCTTGGCACCTACTCTCTCTATTTCTGTACTTGTCTCATAAAGTACTACAGTAAAACCTTTGAAAGCCAGAAACTATGTAAGGTGGAAACCTGTCAGAAACGGAAAGCCCAAATACTTTACACTAAAACAAGCAATAAAAAAGTGGCAAGACTGCACCCTATCAAAGACAGAAAACTTCTGAGACCCAGAAAAACAAGGCAGTCCTGTATAGTTCCAGCTCTCACTGTAGTAAAAAACAGTTTACGTATGGTCACTGCTCTGTGACCCACACTTAGACTAGAACTGCTAAAGCAATATTCAAATGAATAAGAATTTGATAAGCCTCACATTTCTCAACAGCAACACTGAATAAAAAATGGCAAAGCAGTGCTAATTTCAACTGTTGAAGGAAAAATTTAAAACATATATGATAACATGCTAAGCTTGTTATCCTAAGTGCAAGGGTAATTTGAGGAAAGAAAAAAATAAACATAAATCGCAAACCAATTCTAACAAATGTAATGATGTCATCATGATGGAAGTCTGGGGAAACCAGAACAAAGTGACAGAACATTAAAGTATTTACCTTATTGGAGAAAGAGAGGGATTTTTACTGATTTTCCTAATAAATTTATAAGAGAAATGACTACTTTACTTTGCTGGAGATTCTGTTTACCAGTAGAAGAAACAAAAGTCTCCTCTTTCTCCTCTTCTAATCAAAACTATTATGCTGAAGTGGAAGGATTAGAAGAAACAATACCCAGTACTCAAAAAATGATGGGAACGCTGTATATACTACTAGCCAGGATGGAAAACTTTATAAATTCAGTAGATATTGCATAGAATATTTAGAAAGGCCTTGCCTCAGTAGTAGGTAATAATTAGTATTGGACTAAAAACTGATCATCCAGTCCAGTTGAACAAATCTTAAAAGCAAAAACCAAAAGGGATTCAATTGTTTACAAGTATTTTAAATGTATGCCAGAATAAAGTCCCAGAATAAAGCTCAACAAGGTAAAATTCATAGTGTCTGAATTTTCAGACTGGTTAAGAAAAGCAATACCTGACTACATATGCTTGCAAGAAATACACTTTAAATTTGAAGGCACAAGAAGGTTCAAAGTAAAAGGATAGAAATATATATACTATACAAACACTAATCAAAATAAACCTGGAGTGGTTATATTAATACCACAAAAAGTAGATCACAGGACAAAAAATATTACCAGGGATAAAGATGGTCATTATATTGTGAGAAAGGGATCAATTTATCAAGAGAACTTAATAATACTAAATGTTTAAGTAATAATAGACCTTCAAAGTTCACAAATAAAAAATCTGACAAATCGGAAGGAGAGACAGATAAATCTACAAATAAAGTCAGGTATTTTAATAACCCTCTTCTAATAACTGACGGGGCAAGTAGACTATAAGAATATGGAAAACTAGTTGAGAAACAAATCAACCAACAAGAACTAACTGACATTTATAGAACACTGCACTCTAAAAGAGCAGAAATCACATTCTTTTTAAGTGAACACAGAATATTTACCAGGGTAGACCACATTCTCTGCCACAAAATATATCTCAATGAATTTAAAAGATTCAAGTTATAAAAATATGTTCTCTGTTGACAGTAAGTCAATACAATTTACCATATTAGCAAACTAAAAATAGATACAAAAAAAGCATTTGAAAAGTAAAAATCAAACCAGAAAGGTATCTGGAAAATCCTCCAGATACTTGGAAACTAAATAACAGACTTCTAAATAAATCCTCTACCAAAGAAGAAACCAAAAAGGAAATTAGACTGCATTTTGAAATGAATGAAGATAAAAACACAATGTATGAAACTGTGTGGCCTGCTGCTCAAGCAATATTTAAAGGGAAATCTGTGGCACTAAATGTCTATGATAGAAACAAGATACACCTCAACTCAATTACAGTAAACATCATCTTGAGAAACTGGAGAGAAAGATCAAATTAAATCAAAACAAGCAAAAGAAGGTAGATAATGAAGCTGAGAGTGAAAATAAATGAAACAGAAAACAAAAACAATAGAAAACATCAATGCAACCTGAAGTTATTTCTTTGAGAAGATCAACAGATTAGATAAATTTCAAGCAAGACTGATCAGCAAAACATAGAGAAGACCCAAATTACCACTACAACTGATGAGATGGTGACATCACTACAGATATTACAGATATTAAAATGATGATAAAGGAACATTATGAAGAATATTATGACACAAATTAGACAACTTAGATGAAATAAACAAATACCTTGAAGGTCATAAACTCCCAAGGTGTGCTAAAGAATTAGATAGCCTGAATATCCCTATATCAGTTAAAGAAATTGAATTTGCAGTTAAAAGTCTCTCTACAAAGAGAACTCCAGGCCTGGATAGTTTCACTGGTTAATTCTTCCACATATTTAAGGAAACTATTATGGGAATTCTGCAAAAACTCTCCCAGAAAATTGAACAGGCTGGAATACTTCCCAATTCATTCTATGAGAACAGAATTACCCTGATACCAAAACCAGACAAAGATCACAAGAAGGCCACAGACCAATATCCTTCATGAACATAGTTGCAAAACTATCCCATATAATATTAGCAAAAAATCCAACACTACATAAAAATGAGAATACAGTATGACCAATTTGTATTTATCTCAGGAAGGCAAATAAATCAAATATCAATCAATATAATTTACTATATTAGCAAACTAAAAAATAAATACATTCAGAAAAAGCATTTGACAAAATTTATTTCATTTCTAATATAAATCTTGGCAAATAAGAGACCTTCCTCACCCTGATAAAGGACAACTTGAAAAATCGTTATCAGTATCATACTTCATGATGAAAGACTGAAAGTTTTTCCCTCATAAAATCGACAATGAGCCAGATATGTTCTCTCTCACTTCAATATTAAAATGGAGGTTCTAGGATCAGTTTACTAAGGTGATAAACATGAATGAATAACAAGCAGATTGTAAAGAGAGAAGTAAAACTATCTTCATTCCCAGGGGACATTGTCATATATGTAAAAATTTCTCTGGAATCTAAAGCAAGCTACTGAAACTGGTGAGTTTTTAGAAGATACAAGAACAATATGCAAGAATCAATGGTATTTTCAGCAATAACAACCAAAAGATATATGTGTGCTTATTTAGGTAAATATGTATGCATATGTGTGTATAAGAGAGTATATGTGTGTACACATGTATGCATGTATAGGTGTATCTGTTGGCATATGCATATACGTATATGTATGTGCTGCATATATGTTCATATATATAAATTAAAGCACATAGGAGCACAGTTATGGTTACTTACTACACATAATCAAACACCTCATGGGATTGGTTTAATGGGTTCGATGGCTTAGAACCATAGTCTCATGGGACAACTCGGTCAATTGGCATAACATAGTCCATAAAGTTTATATTCTAATATCCTAGTTTGGTAAGTAGCATTCGGGGTCTTAAAAGCTTGTGAGTGGCCATTTGAGATACAGCTATTTGTCTCTACCTGTCTGGAGCAAAAGAGAAAGAAGGAAACCAAAGACTCAAAAAAGAAACTAGTCTACAGGACTAGTAGCCTACACAAACCATAGGCATCATCTGTCCTGAGACCAGAGGAAATAGATGGTGCCCAGCTACCACTGCTGACTGTTCTGACCAGGGACACAATATGTGGTCCTGGATAGAATGAGATAAAAATGTAGAACAAGACTCAAATTTTTTTTAAAAAAGGCCAGTCTTACTGGAACTGTAGAGACTAGATGAACCCCCGAAACTATTGTCCTGAGATATCCTGTAAACTTTGTACTGAAACCACTCCCAGAGGTCACCCTTCAGCTAAATAACAGATTGGCTCATGGAATAAACCATATCACCCATGAGTACTGTGCTTCTTTAAAAAATCATCTATATGAGACTGAATGGTGAACATTTACCTTAAAGCAAAGATGAGAAGGTAAGGTAGGGGGACAGGGAAGCTAGATTAATGGAAATGGAACAACCAGAACAAAAATGACGAAAATGTTGGCACATTGTGAAAAATGTAATCCATGTCACCGAACAATATGTATAGAAATTGTTAAATGGAAACTTAATTTGCTGTATAAACTTTTCACCAAAAACACAATAAATTTCATAAAAAAAGGATCAATGGTATTTCTAGCATTAAACAATCAGAAATTAAAATAAAAAAGCAATTCCACTTACAATAACATTAAAATACGATATAATATGGTAAATCTGGAAAAATATGTGCAAGACCTGTACACTAATATAAGTATAAAATTATGCTGAATTTAAAGAAAATCTAACATTACTAAGTTCTCAATTATTTCCAAATGGTTATATATTTGTCCATTCTCCCCAGACTGATCTGCAGATTCAATGTAATTTCAATAAAAAATCCTTGCAGTCTTTTATAAATTTTTGTTTAATATAAATTGACAAGTAAATTCCAAAATTCATATGGAAACAACTTTAGAAAAGAAGAACAAAGTTAAAGGACTAACACTGCCTAATTTCAGGACTTTTTATAACGTTACAGTAATCAAGACAGTGTGGTAAAAGTACTACACCCCACCATTGTTGCCGAGTCGATTCTGACTCACAGTATGAAACAGAAGTCTAGAAATACAGCCACACTCATATAGACAACTGATTTTCCTAAAAGAATGCCTCCCTTTCATGTTCGTAGACTGCACTGCAAGTAAGTAGGCCTAGCAGAACCAGCTAAGCATATAAAAAAGTTTCCTGAAAATAAAGCCTAAATCAAGAAAAATTTTGGAAATTGTCTCCAGTCCATAATAAACAGTTGAGATGATCTAATAAAGGACTATTATAGTCATGTGAGAATACAGTGCATAATAATTTAAAGTAAATACG